ACCTTCAGAATGTAGGTGGGATCAAAACTGGGAAGTTTGGTGTGTGTACGTGCTACTGAAGTGGAAATTTCTGGTGTGTGTGAGAGAAAAACTAGATTTGAGAAAACAACCTTTAAAGATCTGTATTGTAAAATTCAAACATTTTTAGACCAACAGTAAAACTACAGGTGAACAGGGTGACAATTCTAACTGGTAGATATCACCGCGACACTTCCCCAGAGCACTGATTACCTAAAAGAATTATTTGTTGTATTAAAAGTTTTCTGAAATTTCATGCTTAAATATGCAAATGAAGCATATTAAATAATAATAATTAAAAAAATGTGCTTTTCATGTAAATTTCCAGAACAGAAATCTAAACTAAAACAAACACCTAAATGTGTATTTTGGATGTTTTCTTTATACTAGTCTGAAATCTAGAGCTGGTATGGGTGTAAAAAAAATCTTAAAATTGACCAGTGCATAACAAAATCTTTTCATCTGGAGTGTCTCGCCTTAAGTGGAAATATGTAAAAAATAAAGGGTGAAAACTGGATTTAAAGGAGTTAAAATAACAACCTGACTGTCCTTTAAATATTTTGCAGCTCTGACTTAAACTGCAGGAAGTTAAATCTTATTTTAGTGAAACTGAATTGATGCTTAATAAAGAGTCTCAAACACAGAAACAGCTCCGATTGTTCATGCTGAAGACATTAAAGCCACAAACACTTCTCAGGTTTAAAAACAAAAGTAAAAATGGTGAATAAAGAGACATGAAAACGTCCACATGTTCAGTTTGAAACATCACACACTTGACACATACTTGTTCAGATGGAAAGAAATTGTTTTTGTACAGTGGATTTATTTATATTTTTTAATCTTTTTAGACTATTTTTAAGGTAAAATATTCAGTTTTCTTCTTGTCAGGGCAAAAAAAACTTAAACTACTAAAACGTAACCAAAAACAACAGCAGCAAAAAAGGTGTTTTTTTTCCCAAAGGTTAAATTTTAACATATTTAAACTGACAAAATGTGATTAAATTTCCCCCCAAATGGCAAATTACTGTGTGTAAAATCATGTAAAGAGTTCTAATTTCTTTTCAAAAGGATTGAATTTTTAACATAAACATTAATAAAGTCAAAAGCACTGTGTTGTTTCAGACTGAACCTTAAAACAAACAAACTTCTGTGTATGATGAGTGACAATAACAATAAATAAAAGTAAATAAATAGTTGTGCACATTCAGAGTGACGAGGTTCAGCCGGTGTTAAAATCGATAAACATTCTCAGTGAATTTATATGCATTCAGTTTTAAAAGTATACTCACAAAATGTACATGAACTTTAGCCCTCAGTTTGAGTCACAGAACGCGACGATGACATCGACGTGTATTTACAATCTTTAGACATCAAACAGCCGACAAACTGAAAAACTGGTGCAACAGAAAATTCTCAAACAGTTCTTTTAGATGGATTAAATGGAAACAGATAAAATCTAAATGTCAAACGCAACAAGGCGGTAAAATATGTTAACTCTATGAAAATGTAAAATATACTGGATGGAAACATTCCCATTGTTCCCATTTATTCCCGATGCTGGATAAAAACTGAAACTGATTTCAGAAAAATATGATCAAATTTATTTCACTGTAAATAATGTTTATAAAGCTCCATTTAAACCCAAGTAAACATTCATTTGTTATCTATTTACTGTTTTACAAATTACATAGTTATTTCTAGGAAATTAGACACTGATGTTTAAGCACATTCATTTCTATACAAATTTTATATTTTTTGAATTAGAATTGGAAACAAGAAAAACTTAAATGGGAAATCAAGGTATGGCTGAGGTGGTGGTCTTTCAAGTCTTTCCTAGTGAATCTTGTCTGGTGATTATTTTAGATCAGGGATACTCAACTTGTTTTGCCCTGGGGCCACTTTGCAAAATGTGGAGGGCCAATCAGCAGCCTGCAAATTTACGCAGGGGTGTTTCTAGGATTTGAGGACATTGAGGGCTCTGTTGGGGTCCAGCCTGTCCTCCCCTGGTGCTTTATTTGATAAACAAGCTATATTTTGATGCTTTTTTATGCACTCTGGAACCTTAAGTTGCTTTCACACCACCGTGTGGAAACTCGCTGCCTCCACTCATTTCAATGAGGGGAAGGCGGCAGAGGGGAAGCGGTCTCGAACATGGCCGTAGGGGTATGAAGGGGTTGCCGCTCACGTGAATGCATACAGATTTTGCTCTGCCGCACACACACAGAGTTCACTGTGTTGAACTTCTGGCAGTAGCCGTCTCACTCCGACCTTGTCACATATTGATGTTTGGTCATGGACTTTACACGTCCAGGTACCCTGGGTGTGTTGGTTCTTGAAGTTCTGGGACACCGTGTCAAATTCAGCCTGTTACATCTATTGTCTGTTTTCAAAATACACTTCTGTTTCACAGGAAATTTAACTTTAACATACAGTCTCTACATACGGAACAAAAACACGTGGTTAGGTTTAGGAGAAAAGAACAGGGTTTGGCTTCACAATCTTACTGGACACAAACACCGCTCTCTCGGGTGAAAGTCAGTGTTTATTGGACACATCCACCGCCCCTCCAGCCCGTCCCTGTTGGACTTTTGCTTCCTTAACTTTCCTTGTCCCACCGCATTTCCCCGACGCTGCCGGACGCCGTTAAACTATAATGGCAAGCGGCTGCGTATCATGCCGACGTTAAAGGACGCCTTCTTTCGTTGGTTTCTGATGCTGAAAGTCACTGCCCCAGTGCCGGATTTCGATGACTTAGGAGTGAGACCGGGCTGTAAGTTGAGTATCACTGTTTTAGATAGTTAATGACGACCTTAAACATTCCCACACTCATTAAATGCATCATTTTTATTTCATTTTAACCTTGAGACAGTGCTCTATAACAACTCTGAATATTAATGTTTGTTTCATAACAGTGTATGAATTCTTTATTCCAGACAGGGCTGTTTGCCTTCACTAAAGAAACCTGCAGGATTTGGAAGATGGATTTCTGACAATGCAAATAAGCTGCAGTTGTCTTAAGCTACAAAATTAACAATATCATAGTGTTGCATTTTAATTATCTTCACAAAGTTATTGTTTAAAACTTCTACTAAAGCAAAAAAGTCTCTTAAACTTTAAGTTAAACCTTTACTTTTGCACAATCACCCCCAAAATCCCTTCGTTATTGAATCTGTGTTGGTTCATTGGTCCAACATGTAAATTAAAGAATTAAGTTTTAGCATTTGCATTTAACAGAAAAGCACCATGTTAGCTGCGCAGATTATTCCTCATTATTTTTAAACCAGAAGCTGCATCTCAGTGAATGAATGACAAACCTAAACTTTTAGGTTATTTTATTAAAGGTAGCACAGATTAAATATAGTTTCTACTCAGAAAATACTTTAAATACTAGTTTTATTTGATAAATCTTGTGTCTCTATGTCGTTTATATTCTAATCTAAATTTGAGATCCAAAATAGTCAAATATCAAAAATACTCCAGTTTGGTCCTTTTCTGCTGCCTTTGAGTTAAAAACACGCACACAGCTGCCTTTTGTGAAAGAGAACTGAAAACAATTAAATGTGTCTGAAAGGAGATTAACAGCTAAAATAAAGCACAGCAGTTTCATGCTCAGAAATTAAACACATTCAAATAGTGACGTGACCGTAATTTACTTTCTATAAAAGCTTTGAAAGATTTAATTCTCTCTGATGTTTGCTCATTATCAAACGGCTTCTACATGAACACAGAACCACAGAAAATAAAACTTTAGTCCGTCACATCTGAAGAACAAAACTGCTGCAGTTCAGTTTGTGTCACTGCTGTCGGGTGAATAAACACACATTTGAATCATGGAGAAAAGAGTTAGTTTTTTCAAAATTTTCATAAATAATAATTGTTCTTTATGATAACAGTCAGATTTAGAGGCAGGTTTCATTCAGCCATGACAAGTAAGGATCTCCTGGGCATTTGAATAATGCATAATACTGCAAATAACCATGTATAAGTGTATCTTAAGAGGAAATATTAACTTGAAATGAAATTACATTTTGTTGGAAAGATGTGTTTTATCAGTGAAGAAAGGTTTAAACACTGTAGGTCATCTATTATGCTTTGTTACAATGTTGGATGTTCATATTAAACCTGGCCAAAGTGTCAAATAATGAGGTAAATGTATGTGAACATAATGCTCGAGTTCCAAATGTTTTTTCTACCTTTGAGTCGAGATATCAATGGTTAAACCACCGCTGAGAATATTTTTGATCAGTTCTGCACATCTGTCTATAGGTTAATTTTTCTACTCCTCAGTTTACTGCACTGACAGACAGTCGGCTAGATGTGTTAGAGGCTGTACACATGCTGTTTGTTTTTTATTGCAACCTAAAGTTTATTGTTTTCAATGTAGACGTGCAGCAGGTGCACTCAGATGCCAGAGCAACACACACGTGTTCCGAGCACCTATTTTCAGGGTGCGACGGCTGCGCTCTGAGATAAACAGAGTTCAACTTTTGGAACATAGCAGCGCAGACCACATGTCACGTGACGAGGAACAACCAGTCACAGCCGCAGATATCTTTCACTTCTTCTGTAAATATCAGTCTGTGTTGGGAAGAAGTTGATCCTTTGAGTACAGGGCGACCCAGAGCTTTACATCTATCATACGGACAATATTTTTGGCCTAATACACACAATTATTTTCACTGTCGACTAATCTGTCGATTATTTCTTTGATTAGTCGACGAATCATTTTATCGAAAAATGTGTTAAAATGTTAAAAAATGTTGGTCTGTCTCTCCAGAACCCCAAAATGATGTCATCTAATGACTTGTTTCATACTCACGCCAAAGGGTTTTAGTTCACCGTCATGGGAGAGTGTGTAAAGCTGCCAATATTTGAACATAAGAAGCTGCAATAAGAGTATTTTGGGGTACTTTTATAGTACCTTCCTATGAAAAATGACTCAAACTGATTAGTCGACTACTAGAATGGTCACTGATTATTTTAATAGTCGATTAGTCATCGATTAGTCGACTAATCAGCCCTAACACACTAAGGCCCAGATCATACAGAAACACAACCTGTAAAACACGGGGCGCACCCCACTGCCTTTTTTTTAAATTGAATGCCATATAAAGTGTTTTTGTCTATTTAAGCATGTAAACATGTTCCAGTAGAAATTCAAAATACAAGTATGAACCCAGAAATGAGCATAAAAGGTCCCCTTTAAAGATATTTCTACAGTAAAATACTGTCAGGAGACATTTTGACTATCTATTAAGCAAAGATTTTGTCTGAGTGTGTAATGATGGTCAGATGTGAGCTGTAGTTCATATTTTAATCTGATTCATTTCATTTCTGAACCCTAATCCATGGACCCCATCTTGTTAAATGTTTGCTGAATATCTTTAGATTTAAATCACAAAGTCTACAAATATTTAACCATCTAAACTTAAGAGTCAACAGAGTTTTAGGTATTTTTCTTTCCTCGACAGCAGTGATTCACTCTCAAAAGCACGTTCATGGACTGTAACGACACAACCTCGTTGTCAGTTTGTCAGCCGACACCTGTTCCACCATCTGATATTTGCTCTCAGATAAGGAAATGTGGTTTTTCAGGGGTCGGGGTGGGGGAGTCCTGTCTCTACCTCAGCCGGGCGGAGAAGCAGCGCATGTACTCAGTCATCCAGCGATCGTCCGCCACCGTCAGCTGCGACCGACTCATCTTCTCCAGGTCAGCCGACCGAGCCCGTCGACGGTCCAGGTTGGAGCTGCGTTTTTCGGACTGCCGCCGGGTCTGAACACAGGCGTCGGACGTGTTGCACTAAGAGGAGAAACCAGAGAGAGAGACGGAGAGGAGAACACCGGTGTTTTATTATTAATGTGTGCAGCGTTTCTGGTGACATGGCTTCACTTCTCTGGTGTCCTGTGAGCGAGGTCGAGCCGCTCTGGAAGACTCACCTGGCTTCATGACACTTTACATCCGAACTCTTAAAGTTGTTCCTCCTTTTAAAAATGTAAATTACATTATGTAGGAAGGACATGGGGATTATTTAAGTGACAATATAATTATTAATTTATGATATTTTCCTTTCAGACAAGATATACCATGACAAGACTCATATCAACGGTGTGTTAGTCCGTCTCTCTAAATTTTCTGGCTTCATGTCTGTGGCTCTCTTCATCTTTATATGTCTGACAGCTATAGTTACTAGTTACTCTGAGTATCAAGGGTTAGGGTATAAAATATATTCTCACTTTATAGACAGTTTAAAAAATGACAACATAAACATTCTTAATGAATCCCCTTGTGTTTCCTGTTGGGATGTTTTGCAGAGGATGTGAATGACAGCAGCAGACAGGAAGTAAACATGGACCCATGCTGTTACCTAGCAATGCAATTTCAGTGAAACAACCTATAAAATAAGAGTAATTGACCTTTTGTTAAGCCCCGCCCCTTCGTGATGGTCCAACAAGCTGTCAGAGTAAGCATGGAGCCCTCACTGTAACTAACTGCACTCCCTGAAGAAATATTATCATAGTTTTGGAGAAATGAAAGAGTGATTCCAGAGAGAAGCAGACAGAGGGGTCTACAGTATGTGTTTGAAGAATATATCCAGGATGTCAAACTGACTCAGCAGCAACAACAGGTTAAAAAGACAAAGATAGTTAGAAGCTAAAGCCGAACTATAGGCTACAGATCACAGTGTAAAAGTGAACCACCACATCACTGCTGATCACCTCACAAGACAATGAATATAAAGGGAAACTTTGCTGATATTGAACCAGCTGTGTGGCATCACAGTGTGTGCAGATGAACAGTGTTTGGCTTCACCCCCGTGCTGCTGCCAGCACCAGGACCTCTGCTGGTGGATGGGCAGGGATCTCTGGGGGAAGTCAAACAGCGTTCATCTGCACACACTGTGATGACACACAGCTGGTTGGATATCAGCAAAGTTTCCCTGCTTCCCTTCACTGGTTCCTGTACAGCAGGGTCACTCTTTGTTTCACTGTTATAATCATTAAAAAGCAAAAGCAGCATGTGTATACATTCAGTAGGCTATATCTTCAGTAGCTAGCTAGCTAACCCTACACTTTACAGGGTCTGATTTTGGTTTTGGAACAGGGAAGAAACGTATATCTTTTTCCAACCTCTCCAGGTAACGAGTATCATTAATACACGACGAGCCCCAGGCACAACATTTAACTCCAAATCCACAAAACCAGCCTGAAAATGAAGGGAATCTGAAACGACTGCATTAGAGCTGTGTTGTTGTCGGACCCTGGTCTGAGCCGGCCCGATGCTACGTTATGATTGGCCAGTCCGCGCCAGGAGGCAGGACTTAGTGAAGGGTCAATTATAGATTCACTGATACAGATTAAACTACCCAACCTTATAGAAACTAGTTAAAGGAACAGTTCACTCCACAATCAAGAATACCGACATGGCAGAAACAGGGTAGCACAGGGTCAGCCATCAACAGCACCCCTAGAGCAGTTTGGGGGTTTGGTGCCTTGCTGAAGGGCACCTCAGCAGTGCCCAGGAGGTCCCCAGCTGCCAGACCACAGTCCATACTTGGTCCGCACAGGAACTTGGACCACCGACCCTCTGGTTCCCAAGTTCATGAACTGAGCTACAACCACTCCACTTTTACACTTGTACATAAAACATAAATAAGCGTTTGATTGCAGGACTGCTATTTCCGAGTTTAAGTAAAAGATCTAAGTACTTCTTAAACGGACCTTTAACTTAAAGTTTTTACTCTGTGTTTAAAGATGTCCTTAGTGAGACAAACACTCACATCATTGGGTGTCCTCCTGACCTCCGTCTGTCTCTCGGTCCAGTCCAGTCGGCTGGACGATCTCCGGTTCTCCTTGGTGCTGATCGGCGGTTGGCTCTTAGCTCTCGGCGGTTTGCGGACGACAGCCGGTTTGTCGTCGTGGGAACTGTCCCGGTGTTCTGGCTCAGACCGAGGGGTGCGGCGGCGGTGTCGTCGTTTCGGTGCGGAGTTTACTGGCTCTCCCTCCGAGGACGTTGTGTCAGCAGGACCATTGTCTGTCGCCGTGTCCTCTGAGGGTCCACTGGTGTTTGGAGCCACCGAACCACAGCTGGCTTCGTTCACACAGTTTTCTATAACTGCTGGTTTAGACACAGAAAACATGGCAGGGTAGAGTCACAGAGGCAAAATTCTGTTATTTTCTCATTGATTTTCTGTCCGTCGGCTGCAGCTGGAGCTCTATTTCTATTAATTTTAGGCATTTACATGCATGCTGATAATTTTATTATAATTTTAAGTGATGATTGTGACACTGATGGTCAGGGTTAACACTAACTACATCTTGGTTCTTCTGTTTCTGCACATGTAGCAGTGAAATTATGTCCTGACGTGACTGTAATTACACATGTGGCATCATGACTAGTGGTTTTAAAAAGAAAAACAAATGTTTTGGATTAAAGGGTGGATCTGTGTGCGCTCTTTTCTGGGTTTTCAAATGGAAACGTCCACTCAGCTGTTAGCAAAAAGCAGTGAAGATATTCAATTCACTGTCAAAGAAAAGCACCCAATTATCATATTTCAAGACCTGAAAACAAACAAACATTTGCTGTTCTTGCTTGTTCTTGCTTGCTCTAGTTTCAACGACCGTCTCTTGGGTCTATGTGTTAACAGACAATCATTTTTATACCTAACATGACAGTTCATTGTTGCTTTGCTGAGGAAATGTTGCAGGAGATTACAGCTCTGCTCAGAAGATTATAATATACTTAATTTATTCCCTTAACAGACTGTTCTGTAACAGCATGTTTGAGTCATGGTGGCTTTTGGCCAGCAGAACAAATATGCTAACATGCTGGTTTATTATTCTATTCAGTATATAAACCCTGGAAAGTTTTTGTGGTGGTCCCCGGACACTCTCCTCTCTGAGCTCAGAGATAAAGGACCTATTGTGTCTCTTCTCACATCTCCATGGCTGCATTTCAGTGTCTGAACAGGACGAAACAGTCCCATCTGATCACTGAACCTTCAGTCCAAATATTTTTAGCATCAGTGTCTCCCCGAGGTGAGCCAGCCTCTGGCCCTCATACTGACAGAGAGACGCTCACACAGGAGCACAAAGAACCTCCTCCTGGGGGTCTGTTGGATTATCCCAAAATATTTCTGGAAGCGAGACAGGAAAGAGACGATCCAGAACAAACAGGACAACTAGAGTATGGAGAGTCTTATTTGTCTTACAGTGCATCCTGATCATCAGCTGTGATGAAAACAACCCATCTCAAGTTCTGAGAGCCAAAAGAGACGTCTTTAAATTGCTTATTTAGTTCAACCAACAGTCCAAAACCCCCAAAGCAATCAGGTTACAACAGACAAAAGTCGTCTCTTTAGAGAAGCTGGAACCAAAGAATATTTGGCATTTTTGCTAGATAAATGATTTACAAGATTAATCAGTTATTGAAATTGTATTGGTAACGGTCTCCCCACCTGAAGTCGGTGCAGTGTCTACGACTGCTGCTTCTCCACCTCCCACCTCAGCCTCTCCGTCCTCTGGAGGTGGTATCGGCCCGGGGCTGGACATCTGTTTCACCTCCAAGGATGGCGGTGGCGGCGGCAGCGACAGAGGAGCAATTTTGTTCCTGGTCAGCCTCGGCGTGGACCAGCCGCTGGAGTCAGAGCCGCTGTCCCAGCCCTCCCAGAACCAGGGCTTGTGGGAGTGCTCCATCACCCGCCGGGTCAGACGGTACTTCACAGAGTCCTCGTAACATTTGGAAAACGTCTCCCATTTTGGATCCCTGAATTTCTTCATATACTCTGTCCGGATTTTTTTGGTCACCATGATTTTTGCTATTGCTCCTGTCTGGTTCTTATCACTGTGGAAATAAAGAGGAGGAATTAAAACAATGACACTAACAAAACAAAATAAAAATAGAGCCCCGGGCAGCACTTAACAGGATTAACCCATGAAACATGATGAGCACTGCAGTCTGTCTATCACAAGACAAGAGACGAACTAAGAGCTGTGCGTTCATCAAATCTCATACACAAGAATCTTCATTGACTTAGTATAGAAACGTCAGTGACATAGAAAATTATAAAAGCATCACAAACTGCTAATGCTGTTGTGATAGAAAATAAGGCCAAAATTCCTCTTTTTCTGACTGACAATTTATGGGAGAGAAAATTTAAATAACAAAGTGTTTTGAAGCTTTCATTTTGCCAATAACAGGTGAAGGAAACATTCAGATTCTTTACATCATTAAACGTAAAAATACAGCGCTGTAAAAATATTTCACTACAAGTAAAAATCCTGCACTGAAAATGTTACTTCAGTAACTGTATAAAAATGTCCCGTGTGACTGTTATGTTATTATATATGATATCACTAGATCTTGAGGTGCAGCCAGGGGGAGGAAGGGGTCTGGTTTGGGGACCTCAGAATTGCACCTCTGCTTTTTCGCAGATGATGTTGTTCTGTTGGCTCCATCACACCGTGACCTCCAGCATGCACTGGGGCAGTTTGCAGCAGAGTGTGAAGCGGTCATGATGAGAGTCAGCACCTCCAAATCTTAGGCCATGGTTCTCTGCTGGAAACTGGTGGACTGTCCCCTCTGGGTTGGAGAGTTACTGCCTCAAGCGAGGGGGTTCAAGTATCTCGGGGTCTTGCTCACAAGTGAAGGTAGAATGGAGCGTGAGATGGATTGGCGGTTTGGTGCAGCTTCTGCAGTGATGCAGGCACTGCGCCGGTCAGTCGTGATGAAGAGGGAGCTGAGCAAGAGGGAGAAGCTTTTGATTTACTGGTACATCTACGTCCCAACCCTCTCCTATGGTCATGAGCTCTGGGTGGTGACCTAAAGAATGAGGTCGCGGATACAAGCGGCTGAAATGAGTTTCCTCTGTGGGGTGTCAGCCATAGAGATCGGGGGAGGAGCTCGGACATCTGGAGGGAGCTTGGAGTAGAGCCGCTGCTCCTTCACGTCGAAAGGGGTCAGTTGAGGTGGTGTGTTTCAGGCACTGAGATATGTAATCCCTCCAGTGCGTTCTGCCCCGGGGCCTCCTACCAGTGGCACGTCCCACTGGTAGGAGGCCCCGGGGCAGACCCAGAACGCACTGGAGGGATTACATATCTCATCTGGCCTGGGAACACCTTAGGGACCCCCAGGAGGAGCTGGAAAGCATTGCTGGGGAGAGGGATGTCTTGGGTGTTTTGCTTGGCCTGCTGCCCCCGCGACCTGGCCTCAGAATGACGATGGATGGATGGATGGATGGATGATTCTGAATCATGCATTAATGTAAAAGCAGAATTTTACTGTTGTAATTGGTTGAGATGAAGCTCATTTTGAACTGTTGACTAATGATTATTTCAAATGTGGATTAATTTGCTGAATATTTTCACCATTGATCCATTGGTTTTTAGGTTTGTGAAATTCGTGAAAATAGCAAGAAATGTTCATCACAATGACCCAGAGCCCAAAGTGACACCTTTACAATGTTTGTTTAGTCCAAACAACAGTCCAAACCTCAACATTACTCCTAATACATTACATTTATTAATAGTATTCAAAGAAAAAGCAGCAAAGGAACTGTGAAGTGACTGGCATTTTTGTTAAAGAAACAACAATAATTATGATAAACTGAGGTTCTCCTTGTAGGTACTAAATCTACTTTGGCTAAACCTCATAGTTTCTCTCTGACCACTGACATCTCTAAAGTCTGGGTGTCATCCTGGACAGTACATTGTCCTCTGAGGCTCACATCAACGATGTTACTTGGACTGCATACTTTCATCTACGAAATATTAATTGTCTTCGCCCGTCACTTGCACCTCAGAGCGCTGCTGTCCTCATTCACTATTTGGTGTCATCTCATATTGATTATTGCAATTCTGTCCTCTTTGGTCTCCCTCTCAAGTGTCTTCATAAACTCCAGTTGGTCCAGAATTCAGCCGCCCGTATTGTTACCAGAACCTCCTCTATAGATCGTATCACTCCTATTCTCCAACAGCTTCACTGGCTTCTTGCCCCTTCCTACCTGTCTGAACTCCTTCATATCTACACACCCTCCCTTACTCTGAGATCCTCTGCTGCAATCCAGCTCACATCACCATCTGCCCTCTATGGATACATTGCTGTTTGTTTATTAACTGTGTCTTGTAAGGTGTCCTTGAGTGCTCTGAAAGGCACCTACAAATTAAATGCATTATTATTATTACTGTTATTTTTCTGTCAGTCTACTCATGGTATACAAAATACTCAAGTAAAGTATCAGTATCTCAAATGCTGGTGATATTCTACCAACGGAGGGGATCTACCTGCAGCTCTTAATGACGTGCCCCTGCCAGGTGTGGTCTACCTGTAAGCCCCGCCCACCTCCCTCAGTACAGATTACCCTCAGAGCAGAGGCCGATTGAGGCTTATTATAGTCTTACTACTGCCAGTACTCACACTACATGACCAGTAACAGACCATCTATTTCTGGTAGGAGTCCACACGCCTACACACGTATTTCATTTTATTTTATTATCTAAATACCTGTTATCTCTAGTGAATATAAACCAGATTAATTATTCATTTATCTGAGCTGTCCTACATTTGCTCCAAGGACGAAACCGTGGACAATATTTTTTGCCAAACAGCAAATTATTATTAATTTATTGTCGTGTTTTTTCCCCTTACAACTGAAACAGTCTTATTTTGAAAGCTTTAATTTCCCCAGTCACACCCCAAAACATCGTATTTTCAGAACTAATGCCTTTAAAAACAAGGTAGAAAAAATAATACAGCTGCTGGTGTCTGTTGAAGGTGAAAAAACGACATTACTTATATAAATATGAGTTTTAAAAATGACAGTTATCGTGTGAAAACAGGCTCCAGCCATATTCACAGCCGTTACCCTCACCTGCCTGCTCCGTTAAGCCCCGTTTGTAAACACGGTGGGGTTTTAAATATTTGAGGCTCACGGTTGGATATTTTAATCAAATATTATTTTACTCACCCAGACCTCATTCCAGAGGGGTCCGGTCTGATTTTAAACCCAGTCTGTCTTTTCAGTCCCGCTGTCAGACGCCTCACATCGCTCCGCTTCTCCCCGACTGACAGCAAACACCGAGGCAGCCGAGCTACAAGCTACAAGCTAGCTAACGTACAGCTAACAGCTTCCGGTGTAGACTTTCAGAATAAAAGTGTGAGGAAGCGTCACATCTGTACAGTGGGATATAGACAAAGTATAAATGTATAATTTTTTTATATTTAATGTAATTTGATTTAATATAATTAGACCCGCCCAGTCAAATAAAGACTTAATTTTATTTTATTTTATTTTATTTATCATGTACTACATCATACTTCCATACTATTATTATACAGGGTTGGGGCCAAGTCATTGTTTTGCCAGTCAAAGGTCAGGGACTGTTGGTTACTTATGAGGGGCAGTTGGAGTGAAAAGGGAGAGGCATGTCAAATAAGTTTCTAAGATAAGAGATAAGATAAGATAAGATAAGATAAGATACACCTTTATTGATCCCACAGTTGAGAAATTCCAGTGTTACAGCAGACAAGGGTAAAGAGTCAGATTAAAGATTTCAATACTTAAAAACTTAAAAAACTAGGCATGCAAAAAAAGTACAAAAAATACAAGAAACAGCAATAAATAATAATAATGAGCAGTGGATAAAAAAGTGAGCAATGGATTTGAGTGAACATATTTAGTGCAAAGTGAATATTGTATGTGCAAATAAACAACAACAAGGAGGACAGCAATGCTTATAGTGGTGTTTATTAAGTGTCCATAGTGTCCCTAAAGTGTCCGTGGTGCAGTTTACTGTGAGCAGTGCTGGTTGTGTAGCTTGACAGCAGCAGGCAGGAAGGACCTGTGATAGTATTCCTTCACACACTTTGGGTGAATCAGTCTATCGCTGAAGGAGCTCTCCAGAGCTTTTATCGCCTCCTGCGGAGGATGGGAGTCGTTAGTCCTCAGAGATGACAGCTTGGCACTAATTTATGCTTTTCCTGTATTTTGGCTTAGAGAAGGGCCATATAAATTTAAAAGGTTGTGTTTTGTATTTTGCCAGAAACTGTAAAAACATTAATTTTTGTTGGATTTGGAAATTTTCTTAAGGTCCTCCTTTGCTACTTGTCATCCCCTTTGTTTGTTTCTGTCCTGTCTGGTTGTATTTAACACATCTCATATTCAACACATGTCCATAACTTTCTCGTTCCCAAATGGCTTGGGGGAAGGTATTAACTATTTTGAAGTCAAAGGCTCAAGTCCGAGTGCAGTCTAAAGTCTTAAAATCTGTGACTGGATTGTGTCTCGAGTTCAAGTCATGTGACTTGGGTCCTCACCTCTGCTATTATATTATACTATTCTAGTGTTGAGTGTTGATGGTGTCATAGTACTCTACATGTACTACACTTTTCTGACTTTGATGCTACTAAATCACGTTGCTTGTGTCAGTATTGAACAGTTTAAGTACAACACTGGTCATGAGGACCGTTGGTGTACTCCTTTTTTGCCCTGTAACCTCTAGTTAAATAGCTCTTGCATTTTTTTCTTCTATATTTTATATACTTCTATTTGTTTTTTGTGTTTATTCTTTTTACCTGTCTCTATGTATCTGTACTTATTTCTATCCTTGGCTTATGTTATCATATCTTGATAAAATAAAATAAAATTAAATTCAAATTAATTAAGTTAAATTAAATTGAATTAAGTTAAATTACACCAAGTACACCAAGTTGTTTTTCAGTAGATAACTGTTTTTTAATTCTTTTTTTAACCTTCTTTGGTGGTAAGAATAGCAGATATGTCAATAATAAGATCTTTTACTTAGGTTAAAGTAGCAATGCCAGTGTAAAATTATTCTATTGCAAGTAAAAGTCCTGCATTCAGAATCTAAGTCAAAGTACAAAAGTATTAGCATCAAAATATACGTAAATACCTAGAACAAAGTACATATTACTATATTTAATAATGAGGATATTAATTGTTGATGCATTAATGGGCTCCTTAAAGTTGCAGCTGGTAAAGGCGGGGCTCATTTAACGTAGCCTACCACTGGGTAGTTTAATTTATTTTTATTTTAGTATATGTTGATATTTTTGTACTGGTGATCTACATCTGCATAGTAACTAAAGCTGTTGGGTAACTGTAGTGAAGTAAAAATGTAAATCATTTCCCTCTGAGATGTAGTGAAGTAGCAAGATAAAGTGGTCTAAATAGAAATACAAGTACCTCAAAAATGTACTTTAGTACTTGAGTAAATGTACTTTAAACTACCGCAGAGACAAACTACAAAAAAGTGAACCTTTTATGTAGAATGAGGTGTCTCAACTTGTCTCAGTATTTAAGCTATTTTAATTCATTCAACCTTTATTTTGAAAGAAGCATTTCATTTTTCCGGTTCAATTCTGATTAACTGCCGCGAGCTTGATGGAGCAGAGCTGAGAAATTTTGTAGTAATGAAGAATGAAATATGAGTTCCCAGTCAAGATGCAGAGACCGGACTGCGCGTGCGTGCTCTGCTTGCATCCGTGCGGTGACGACAACAGGTGAAACAGAAACAGATCAGACTTTAAACTCATTTAACTGTTAAAGGTGATTTTAATTCTTATATTTTAAAGGGCTACTACAACATTGCTAAAGTCCTCTGTCAAATCTGAAAAAATAGAAATAACCCTGATGATGTCATAGTGATGTCATTGGGGTTTTCTTGACTTGTGATGTCTCCCACCCTCAACGCCAACTGGTTGCTTTTTCATTTTCCATTAAGTGTAATTTCTCTTTTTGTATGATTTGATTCAGACTCTCTCTCCTCCTCCCGACACTCCTGTTTTGAGTGTCATTGATTTGCCAAAAAATAAAAAAGACAAAACACACAACAATCAAAGTTAAAGCTGAATATATAATGCTGATAGCCTTATTAATATTATTTCGCAATGATATTGTTATCATATACTCTTTGGGGAAGGTATTGCATTTGCCATTGCATTATGGGAAATGTAGGATCCAGTTTTTTGCAGTAAGGACTTTAAGTTAGCATATCTTGGCCTCTTGATCCTTCTGTTTTATTATCAGTCCCTCACAGGTCCCATAACTCTATGAAACAGCAATACTGACATGCTGAAGTGACACTGTAACACTCCTTCCTTTACTTTTTTCTTTATATTTGCACATTTAACAGTGGTGGAGGAAGTATTCAGATTCTTACTGAAACTACAAATACTACACTGTGAAAATACTGGTGCAAGTAAAAGTCCTCCGTCTAAAATGTCACCTGAATAAAAGTCTGTAAGTATAATTAGGAAAATGTACTTAAAGTAAAATAAAAACAATCTTTTCCCCTGAGATGTGGTGGAGTATTTAGTTACTGTCCACCACTGCTGAAGTAAATTATTACTCTGACATCTTGGCTCAGAGACGGGCCAATATTTCCCCCGACAGCCGGCAGAATATTCATCTCCACACTAATAATGTCAGCAGGAGGAGGATATTAACAAAACTGTTAAGTCATGACATTGTTTAGTTTGGCTCACAGGTGCTGCTGGATTTATTTCAGCACTGGAGCCTGACCTCTGTGTTTGTGTTGGAGCTTTAAGAGCTTCACAAAGTTTATTATGGATCTGGCTTCACTCATGTGTTTGGATCAGAACCAGTGGAGTGGAGTTTTTTAACGTTCAGTGTCTCACAGATATACAGAGAAGCTGATATTATATATTTATTTGTCAGCTTTTATCCTTGTCGGTAGACGCTCACATGCGTTTATTGTTCCCTCCAAGATTTCCTTATTTTTACCTGCTCAATTATCGGATTATTTAGTTCATATTAAACATTACTGACTGTTAAGTGAGAGGAAAGTTCAAAGTGTGTGGCCAAAAATATTTGGACCACTTAACTTTATATCAGGTGTTAAATTAATTTTAGTTCATGGGCCACGTGAAGCCCAGTTTGAACTCAAGTGTGCCGGGCCAGTAAAACCGTCAAGTAATAACCTGCAAATAAAAAACCTTTCAGATTTTTCCCCTTTTTTTGTGTAAAGATTCTGAAAATGTTCATCCATTGACAAAGCAAATGATGAACAGCTCGAGATATCCTAAGAAAATGATGTGCAAATGTGTCTCAGTTTTTCCATTTCCCATTGAAGTGGAAGCTGTTGAAGAGGTTACGTCATTTTCTGCCTCACAAACCATTTACAATTGAAGATATGTCAGTCTAATGTTGTGTTCATAGCAAACGTGGTGAGAATTTACATGTTGGGTTATTTGCCCAAGTTTGAATACAAGAATATTTTGTGTTGACTCACTTCATAAGCACGAATAACTTGCGTAAAATAACTGAATCAATGAATGAACTTACATAGGAATGTCCTTGGCATCTTATGTCCCTGGAGGATCTCAATGCTGATTTGCTATCATAGTGCAAATTGATCACTGAAGTTCAGATTTTTCAACTCTCATGAATAAGTGTATGGCGTGAAATTGCGTTACTTTCTTCATTCGCACTACTTTATTTGCGTATTTTGCATCATTCGTGTTGTGTCCATCGGGCTGCCTGGTGAGAATTCATGTCTAATCCCATATTTACGTTGACTTTACTTTTAAATCACTGGTGCAAATTGTTTTATTTGTGCATGGTGTGAACACAACATTGTTCTGAGATAGTAGTCTGATACAGATTGTTTTGTACTGAAGCTGCTGGTTGACAATGTTTTCCACAGTTTTCCATATCTTCAAATCTGACCACAGTAAGTTTTTGGTATTTCAGAGAGCTGCATTCTGGTCGGGGTGGAAAAACCTCTGAAGCAGCATTTTACATTAAGTATCTACTCACTATTTAACCTGCTCCTCAAACCTGGCACCTCTTAGCCTCAATATGAGATGTGCAAAGTCATCCAGTGGGCCGGATTGGACCCTTTGGCGGGCCGGTTCTGGCCCCTGGGCCTTATGTTGGACACCCCTGCTTTACACCCATCAGCCAAAACATTAAAACCACTGACAGGTGAGGTGAATAACTTTGATTATTTTGTTGCAATGCATTGTTCTGCTGGGAAACCTTTGGTTCTGGCATTCACGTGGATACCAGGTTGTATAACTAACTTATATTTTGAGTAAAGCAAGAAAGCAGGACTTTCACTTGTAACAGAGAATTTCTGCACTGCAGCGTTGCTGCCTTTACTTAACCTCATACAATGTCAATATATTTGGATAATATTTTGATGTATTTTAGGTCTAACAAACCTTAAAAACATCCAGTGCTCAGAATCAGAAATAACAGGCAGCAGTCATAAATGAAAATAAAGGGACTTTATTTGTTCTCGTTTCTTTTTTTGGTCTTTTCTGATTTTTTTTCTTTCTCCTTTCCCTCAGTTGGTCCGAGTTGGAGTGTGTCGTACCTCGAAGCGTGTCACATACACACTGGACATCATTCACACTGAAATACATTACAAACATAACAGAAGAACAGAATAAATAACATATGTACAGGTGAGACGCCGCACGTTGATCTGTGATGGTGAAGATCTCCTTGTTTCAGAGTCCTGGAGACGTCAGCGTCTTATTACTCCGGATCCTGAGGGGGTCAGGTGGTCGTGGAGGTGTCATGTTTAGAAGCACTTGCGGTGGACGATGCTGGGACCGGCCTCGTCGTACTCCTGCTTGCTGATCCACATCTGCTGGAAGGTGGAGAGGGAGGCCAGGATGGAGCCGCCGATCCAGACAGAGTATTTACGCTCAGGAGGGGCGATGATCTGCAGAGGAGAGGGAAATCAGGTTGGTTGATTGTATGACCCAGTTAATAGTCATGTTATCACGAAGAGGGTGATGATGCCACCCTGATGAGTTTTCTAGCTTCTCTAATTCTTTTGTGATTTTTAGACACTTCAGCAAGATGTGATTAAAGTGACAGAGGAAGAATCAAAGCAGATTTACTACAGATGACAAAGCATTTTTACTGCAGTGTGCGTTTAGTAGCTGCTCTCATGTTTGTTTTTAAGATAAGATGGAACTTTATCATATTATTATCATTATAAAGAAGGAACCAGTCTAAATATAAAGACTGCAAATGTGAAATATCAATTAAGTATTAACAAGTATTAATACATATAAGTTAATGATATAGTATGTAACAGTCACAGGGGACATTTTTCTGCATCATGTATGTGTTATAAGTCATGATTATACTCACATACTTCTACTTAAGTCACATTTCAATGCAGGAATTTTAAGTAAAGGATCTGAATCCTGCTTCCACCTCTGTTAAATGTGCAAATGTAATGAAAATAGTAATGGAGGCAGTGTAAAAGGATCACTTCAGCATTTAAGTATTGTAATTTCAAAAAGTTGAGAGCACAACTTAAAAAAAAAGACTTAAGTAAAAGGTCTGTGTACGTCCTCCATCACTGCACATAGGAGTTTTATTTTCAGGTGTCCACATACTTTTGGCCATGTAGTGTATGTACTGTACAGTCGAGTAAGCTACCTTGATCTTCATGGTGCTGGGAGCCAGAGCCGTGATCTCCTTCTGCATGCGGTCAGCGATACCAGGGTACATGGTGGTGCCGCCGGACAGCACGTTGTTGGCGTACAGGTCCTTACGGATGTCGATGTCACACTTCATGATGCTGTTGTAGGCAGTTTCATGGATACCAGCGGACTCCATACCTGTTCAGGTGCATGGCAGAGACATTCAGGTTAGAAGTGTAATGAGTGGAGAGCTGCTATGCTTTCATCACTTCATTCTCATATCTGATGATGTAAAGGAATACAGGTCATACTACACACCGATGAAGGAGGGCTGGAACAGGGTCTCTGGGCAGCGGAAACGCTCATTGCCGATGGTGATGACCTGACCATCGGGCAGCTCGTAGCTCTTCTCCAGGGAGGAAGAGGAGGCGGCGGTGGCCATCTCATTCTCGAAGTCCAGAGCCACGTAGCAAAGCTTCTCCTTGATGTCACGCACGATCTCACGCTCAGCTGGAAACAGAGAGTACAGGTCAGACTTTGTGCCCAGACACAACTGAGGAAAAATATATTCAATCAGAAACTACAGTGAAAGCTCAATTATCAGTGTTTAGATGTTTTAAGAAGGAGTATTGGTATCAAGACTTTGCATCAAGCTCCAAAGTTCACAAATAGGATGCTTCATATTTTACATAAAGCACCAGGAGGAAAAGGGATTGTGTCCTATGGCTCAAAAGATCTGACATGCGTCTGTGTTTTAGGTGTTAAAACAGAACTGGACAGATGTGTTTTGTGCTGACGTGAAAGCATTTACCGGTTGTGACGAAGGAGTAGCCACGCTCGGTCAGGATCTTCATGAGGTAGTCGGTCAGATCCCGACCAGCCAGGTCCAGACGCATGATGGCGTGAGGCAGAGCGTAGCCCTCATAGATGGGCACGTTGTGGGTCACACCATCACCAGAGTCCAGCACAATACCTGAGAGCAGAAACAAGAGGAGGTCAGTTTAAGTTTAACGGCAGGAAGAGTGTGAGGACATGATCAGTACTCTTAATTGCAATGTCTTCCCAAAGACATTCAGTTTACATGATATAAAATAAAGAAGAAGTAAAGAGGTTACATTGAACTCATGGAGGCTCGTATGTGTGTGACTGCAGACTCACCAGTGGTACGACCGGAGGCGTAGAGGGACAGCACAGCCTGAATGGCCACGTACATGGCGGGGACGTTGAAGGTCTCGAACATGATTTGCGTCATCTTCTCCCTGTTGGCTTTGGGGTTGAGTGGGGCCTCGGTCAGCAGGGTGGGGTGCTCCTCAGGGGCCACGCGCAGCTCGTTGTAAAAGGTGTGGTGCCAGATCTTCTCCATGTCGTCCCAGTTGGTGATGATGCCGTGTTCGATGGGGTACTTCAGGGTCAGGATGCCCCTCTTGCTCTGGGCCTCGTCGCCCACATAGGAGTCCTTCTGACCCATGCCGACCATCACGCCCTGAGGGGAGGAGGAAACGCAGACTTTAAGTACGAGTCAGCTGCACACCTCTCCTCCAGTTCACAATGAGTCACTCCAATAACATTGCCAGCTGTATTTCCTGATATGAGCAGCACTGTGGTCTTTAATCCCAAACTGTGAGTTACAATTTATTTTATACGTTTTTATGCATTTACACATGTCTGTGCTTTAAGTGCCCAACATGTGATTTTCTGGGATTATAGTCCCACTCCAGTACTGTCAAAGTGCTTAAAATCATACAAGTTTATACTCTGTAGATTAAAGGGTAGTTTGGTAAAATGGGATCTCCTCATTGGACCTTTTCAGATTGAGGGTGTTTTCACACTTGGTCCTTTTCAGCCCTCTAACTCAGAGCAGTGACTCAGACCCCTCTGATGAGAACTGTACTCAGACCACCTCAGTTCACTTCAAGTCCACTGTGCAGTCCACTTAACCTGTGCCTTGTGAACACAAAGTGCTCCAGGTTCGCTTTGCTCTTTGCCGTTGTATTCAGCCCTCTAGATCACATGCTGTTGCTAAACCTAACCCTTTTAAAAACAGACAAAACCACATTGGCCTGTAATGCTTGCAAGGACTCAGGACGAGGAGTAGTTTGGTCCATGGAAGATACTGCACGCCTCCAGATGCAGAGGTGGGTAGTAACTAGTTACATTTACTCAGTTACATTTACTTGAGTAACTTTTTTGGATAAATTGTACTTTTCAGAGTAGTTTTAATGCAAAATACTTTTTACTTTTACTTGAGTTATATTGTTTTAAAGCAACAATACTCTTACTTGAGTACAATATTTGGCTACTCTATCCACCTCTGAGTACATAATTACATATATATGTATATATATATATATATANTTTGAAGAAACTAGAATATAAAACATGTTTTCAGTTATTTCACCTTTTTTTGTTAAGTACATAACTCCACATGTGTTCATTCATAGTTTTGATGCCTTCAGTGAGAATCTACAATGTAAATAGTCATGAAAATAAAGAAAACGCATTGAATGAGAAGGTGTGTCCAAACTTTTGGCCTGTACTGTATATATATGTGTACAGTATATATAAGAATATATGTGTATTTCTTGTGCCTTGATTTATGTTATGTTTGTAAAGATTTAATTTATTTTTGTTTTAGTTAAAGGGGTATCGTTTAAAATACATGAATTTGCAGATTATTATTTTTGATTGATTGATTACGTTCATGTTCTTATTTTATAAATAAATCAGACGTTACTCAACAGTTACTCAGTACTTGAGTAGTTTTTTCACCAAATACTCTTTTACTCTTAATCAAGTAATTATTTGGATGACTACTTTTTACTTTTACTACTCTTACTTGAGTATAATATTTGGCTACTCTACCCACCTCTGTCCAGATGTGGAATGTAGAATACATCAAACAGCAACAGTCTACAGCACAGACACACTGAGGTTCTCCTACAATTTAAAGTTCATCTGAAAGCGAGGGGCTTCATAACCGCACTGCAGTGCCACTAAAGTAAAAACAATTAACTATGTTAATATATATTATATATAGCGTGAACAGAGAGAGGACTGAGGCCCCATCAGAGCTGAAGCTGACCAGAAAGAGAACTGAGTCCTCTTTCAAATGAACTGATAATGTGAACACTTTTTCTGTTGGTCCACTTTTTGATGTGCTTTCAGAGGACTGAGTTCGGTTTGTTTAAAAAGGACCTCATGTGAAAACACCCTTCATAATCAAGAAAGTGTTCATGGCTGAGAACCTCCTGTGTGTTTGATGCGCTTCCTCCTTGTTATCGGGAATTGAGTTCAGGTGTGATCACTTTGCCTGCACCGCCTGCAGCAGAGCCCTGGGCTCTCTGGCAGCAACTGTTTGACTGAGTAAAAACTGTGAGTTTCTTTTGTCTTTGTTTGAAATAGCTTGATGTTTGAGTTATGTAATGTTTAGTTAGGCTGATTTTACATTGTGTAGCCAAATATTTGCATTAGACTGATTTACTTATATTAGATTTAGTAAATGCTACTTAACACATGGCAGGTTTTCTGTTTAAATAAAACCAGCAGTGTTGTTACCAGACTTCCTGATGTACTGCCATGATAAATAATAATTAAAAAAGTGGATTCCTTGGTGTCATTGTGCCTGACCACACAGCTATAGTGTTCATCCTGGCTCCTAGTAACTAGGAAATCCCTTATGCAATCCTGGAAAGAGAATTTTTTTTTTTTACATAGACTTTCCCACTTTTTTTAAAAAAATATGTACCTTATTTTCATTCATTTATCTGTTTTGTAGACCATTTTTAAAAGTCATGTTTGCTCCTGGCACCCTAGGTAAAGTCTTACTGCACATATTCTTTATACTGTGAACTTTTGTGCACCTCATCTTTGTGATTAACACTGTAGAGCTCTTTTCATTTGAGATTTTTACATAATCCCTATTTTTAATTTCTATTTCATATTAAAGTACTTTTAGTACTCGTTTTATTTTATTGTGACCGTTATGCACCAAAATACCAAGACATATTTCTAGTATGTGAGTTAGCAATAAACCTGATTTTGATGTTGTGATGTACCAAGCCTTTTTTGTACTAAATCAATAAAAACTAAAATACCTAACAGAGTGTAGAGGTCAGATTCCTGGTACAAATAGATACAGATGTGTTCGTCATGACTAAATTCAAATAATGATAATAACAATAATAATAATTTAGAAATAGTGAGAGTGCTTAGTCCTTCTTTACTGCATTTGGCCAATATTTATGCAGGAAAATGATATTGTATGATCTATTTTTTTATTTTAGTAAGAGCAAACATCAATAAGAGTACAATTACTGATTTAAAATCAAGAAAGTGCTCAACAGTGTACTTTAATTCTGCTCAGATAGCTTTCAGTCAGCAAGTAATTGAATATCTATCTGGTAGGGCAAATTTTGGCCTGATGGTGGCGGTAGAGAAGAGGTCACAAGGTCATAAAAATCATCATCAGGCTACTTCCTCTTGGGGGTGTGAGTGTACATTTACACAAAGCATCAAACCAAAATTTATTTCATCCTCCTTGCTAGAGATAAAAGTCCTCAAAACATTTATAGAAATTTGGTTAATTACTGGAGCTATACGAGTCAGAAATAGTGGGAATAAAGCAATATTAGCTGCTAAAACATCAGGAGGTCAAATGTCAGATCCTGTGTGTGACCACAGAATTGGGAATAGACATCATGATGGCTACAGCTTAAAATAACAGATCCATTGTCTGATTGCTTTTAGGGATGTTGTTGTGTACCTGGTGACGGGGGCGGCCAACGATGGAGGGGAACACTGCTCTGGGGGCGTCATCTCCGGCAAAGCCAGCCTTCACCAGGCCGGAGCCGTTGTCACAGACGAGGGCGGTGGTCTCATCGTCGTCACACATGTCTGCGGTATCTGGAGGACAGAGGTCAGAAGGTGAGTTTCAGATACAAGATTAAAAAACACAAACATTAATCTAAACTAGCTACTTGTGAGAGTTAAAGTTAAAGTTAAAGGCGCACAAATGACCTCCAAGACCGAGCTGTGAATATGTGTTCCGAGTGCACACACAACATGCAAGAATTAAGATTTAATTCATCACCATGGTACGCCAAAACTGCATGTGGCTTCACATGTAAATAATAAATGTACAGTATGTTTATACTAAAAATAATGATGCTAATTTTATCTATATAACACCTTTCAAACAAAGTAATTGAGCGGTAACTCTGTGCTTAATCATCCCTTATGTTTGACCAAAAAAAGTTTAAAATCAGAGTTAAAAACTCTTTCTGACCTAAATTAATTTAGTTTTGGCTCATCCTTGTATTATCTTATACTACAGACAGACCTTTCTGCCGTTGTGCTGTTCTATTATTTTATATTTTATTACTTTTTCTTTAATTGTGGAGTATGATGATCAACAGCTGATCAACAAACACATCTGTTCTTTTGTTTTGTGTGTTCCTATGTGCCACTCCCTGTTCTGTTTAAACTGTATGAGTACTCAGAGGCTAATGACTATAACACAGTCATCTTAAATATCCTCTCTCCGCCCTGCAGAGTCTGGGTCCTGTTATGTATCAATAAACCAGAGCAGAAAACAGTTCACTCAAGCTGTAATGACAAGCAATCATAGAGAAGCAAACACAGACACCATTAACCCTCATTTAGTGTAATGATGCATTCAAGTGCTCCTCATAAAGTCTTACATCTCAAAACTTTAGCAAGTGCTCTTTGTTATAAACAGAAAGAGAAGCTTAGAGCGTAGTCCCCTTCGTAGGGTGTGTTAAATGTTATGCATTTGTAGATAAATATTCTAAATTTATTTTTCAATTTTCTAAAAGACTATTTTTATTCTCACTTGAAAACTTACCAAAAAAAAATCATATTTTATTTTTATTTTATTTTTACGGGATCAGTGACTTACTTCATGAAAACTGATGCAAAACGCTGGTTAAAAGCCAATTTTGGCCGTTAAAAATATGTATTGTGTAAAAAGAATACAATTTTCAAAAAATGACACAATGGGTACCAGGTTACTCTTGAAACATAATACATTACAGATCATCAGTTACCCTGTTAAAATGTAACAGGTAATGTTACTATTTGGTTACTTCATCAACGTAATGTAACTTACATTACATTTGAGTATTTTTTGATTTTCATAATCATAATTTGACTTTTCATAAACCTAATTCGGCCATAAACCATAATTTGACTTATGGCAAACCATAGTTTAGCCTTTTTATAAATCCTAATTTGACTTTTCATAAACCGTAGTTTACCATACTGACAAATGGTTTAAACCATCAAATAAAGCTACTGCCTACGCTAAAAGAAAGTACTCCTGTACAACAAAAAGTTTCAAAGCAACAGTATAAATGTTATATTCTTCATATACAAACATTTTGATTAGTAGCCTAAATGTAAATTAATAACATTTTTTTCCTCAGTAACTGTCACTGATTACAGTTACATTTATTTTCTCATTTAATCCATTTAACTAGCAACTCCCCACCACTGATTGTAACCCTAACTGATGACATCTTTGGCGTTACTCTCAAATACCAAGCTAGAAAAAGCTAGTGAAACTGGAATTTCCGGCAGCGCCTGAACGCAGCAGGTCTGACACCCTGTCACAACAAAGCTGCTTCTTCTCGCCGCTGAAGGTGAACAGAAGCCGGCTGAGTTCACTGCCAGCTCCCGGCTGCGGGTCACTGCCAGCTCCCATCAGTTAACCACTCAGTCCGGATTATCCTCCATCTGTTTCACCCACTTAAACCTCCAACAAACCAGACTCCATCATCTCAGCGGCTAATTCCGACTCTCTCCCTCTGTACACCCGCCCAGCCCGCCCCGCTGCTCCGCTCCTCCGCTCCTCCAAGCCGCTTACCTCTGCTTGTCGCCGGCTGTCAGTGAGGGAGTGTAACCGCTGCTGGTTCCAGATATCGGGGTGACGGAGCAGCGACCACCGGGGTCCTTATATACTCCTTCTCCTCCATACCACCCGGGGAGGATCTTTTTTCTTCTCCGCCGACAGCCGTTAGGAATGTCCGAGTGTCCGACAGGAATCCAGCCGGTCCCGGCGTCCATATTTGGTCGCGCGGGCGGGAGGGTGGCCGGCCGCCGGTGTGAACACACAGAGGCTCGCGCGCCGGGAGGCCCATATATGGAGAGGAAGCCCCCGCGAGTCCGCCGCGGAGCGCTCGAGCCCGTGTATGGAGCGAGACCAGGGCGACACACCGACCGTTACCGGCGCGTGTGGAGTAGCCTACTACGACTACTACACACACACATTCATTCAGTCTGTAGAAGAAACACACGCCCATTCAAAACTTATTCAAATTCATTTTTTTATTTTAAAGTCAGAGATAAAAAATCTGACTTTTATTTGTTTTATTTGACAGTTGAAGCCTCTCACGCGTTTTTGTTTTGTTTGTTCTTGTTTGGTTTCAGTGAGGAGGTCATAGGTCACTCATAACTGAAGGAAATGTAATGGATGACAAAATACAGTTTCATTTTCATTGTGGTCCTTGATGTAAAGGTAGCAAACAGCTTACTGGGTGACATTATACCAACAATTAAACTATGGTCAGTACCCACTGTAAATAATCAGAGGTAAAATCAGTCCATGTTTAACATGACAGTAAAATAATACAATGATTGACAACCATAATTTAATCTTTTGCAAACCATAGTTGAGCCTTTCAGAAACTTTTCATAAACCAAAATTCCACCTTTCATAAACAGTAATTTAGCCTTTCACAAACATTTCATGAAGCATAATTGGACTTTTTGTAAACCATAATTTAGCCTTTCAGAAACTTTTCCAAAACCGTAATCTAGCCTTTCATAAACCATAGTTTACTTTTTCATAAGCCATAATTTGGCTTTTCATAGACTTCTCATAAACCATAGGTTGGCTGTTCATAAATCATAATTTGATGTTTCATAAACTGTAGTTTTACTTTTTGTAAATCATAGTTTGGCCATTTTATAAATTATAATTTGACTTTTCATAAACCATAGTTTGATCTTTCATGAACCATATTTTGGCCTTTTAGAAACCATAATTTTACTTCTCGTACACTGTAGTTTGGCCTTCTTTTTTTATAAATATATAAATCATAATTTGACTTTTCATAAACCATAATTTGGCCTTTGATAAATCAAAATTTGACTTTTAATAAACTATAGTTTGGCCTTTCATAAACCATAATGTGACTTTTCATAAACCATAGTTTGGTCTTTCATATACCATAATTTGGTTTTTCATAAACCATAATTGAGCCTTTTATAAACCATAGTTTGGTCTTTCATAAACAATAATTTTACTTTTTGTAAACCAGAGTTTGGTCTTTCATATGCCAAAATTTGACTTCTTGCAAACCATAGTTTAGCCTTTTTATAAATCATAATTTGACTTTTCATAAACCATAGTTTGACCCTTTTGTTGAAGGAAAGTAATACTTGTGTGCGTACCTCAAATTGGATCAATGAAATAAAATGGATAGGAATTCTGCACAATAAAACAGAATTGTAAACAAAGTGTAACCATCCAAAGGAATCAAAATTTCAGCTGAAGTCAAATCCTGTAAGGAGAATAAAAACTTCATGTGAGGAATATGGAGTTGCAGCGTGTTCCTAAAATAGTCCAATAATCATATTTGGTGTTATTAATTAGGTTAGCAGCTATGTTTGATTTTGTCATGTCAGCTCAGTCAATAAACTATTTATGATTTAACAACATGAGTTGATATTGTTCTTCTTGTGGCTTCAGGAGGAGTTTTGCCTCACACACTGAGTTTCCTTTCAGGTTTGTATGGAGGTCGTGCCGTCAGCTGGAAGCTTGAAACAACAACATGCACACAGCAGCTGAGTGACGTTCTCGCCTCAGTTTCTAAAACAAGCAGGTCAGGACCTCCAGCCCATCAGACAGCTGCAGCCGGAGAAGGACTGAAGCTGAATTCCTCTGAGAGACAAAAAACTGAGCCAACAGACCCGGCTGTGTTTATCCAACTGTTAACTGAGATCCACTGAGGTGTCATGATTCACAGAGCTGCAGGATGAGTTTTAAATGGAAGATGAATCTATGGCAGGAGACTGCGGTCATCTAACCAGAGGGGAGACATGATGTGAACACTGGGTGACACAATGAGCTTCCTTCTTATTATAGACACAATTACATTATCTAGAATAGCAGCTGGATCCTCCACACATTTAATGTTGTCTCCTGGGGAAATAGTTTTCTGATGCTTTTCCTTGATCCTTCAAAACAACCTTGCTGTACTGTAGGTGGAGCTGAGCGCTTAAAGTAAAGTCGGTTTATCAGAACTTTAGTGGCATCTAGCAGTGAGGATTGAAGATTGCAACCAGCTGAAACTTCTCCCGATTAGAACTGACCTTTCGCCCACACTGTAACTAACTGCACTGCCTGAAGAAATATCATGTTTTTGGACAAATGAAGCAGTGATTCCAGAGAGAAGCTGACAGAGGGGTCTACAGTCTGTGTTTGAAGGATATATCCAGGAAGTCAAACTGACTCAGCAGCAACAACAGGTTAAAAAGACAAAGATAGTTAGAAGCTAAAGCCGAACTATAGGCTACAGATCACAGTGTAAAAGAGAACCACCTCATCACTGCTGATCGCCACACAAGACAATGAATATCAGCAAAGTTTCCCTGCCTCCCTTCACTGGTTCCTGTACAGCAGGGTCGGTCTTTGTTTCACTGTTATAATCATTAAAAAGCAAAAGCAGCATGTGTATACAGAGCCGGCGTGATGCTACCTTATGATTAGCCTGCCTGCTTTGGAAATGTGTGTGTATCCCTTATAAGATCGACCACAAACATTATCACTGCACGATCTAATCTTACAGCATTACATTTACTTCCTGTCATTCAGTGTTTGGAGAATATTCCTCCGACCTCTTTGTGTTTCCACCATTTTCTCCTGCTTAAACTCTTAAACCATGTCCTCTTTACAGTTTTTCACCTTAGGAGAGCTTTTAAGGTTTAAAATGCTCTGTGGATAAATTTAATCTTTACCAGGACCTAGTCTTAACTTTTTAAGGGGAAATTCTAAGAATATGTCACAAGATTTTTTCTAGAATTTAATCACCAGGAGCAGCTCTTTGTAAGAGGAAGCTTTGTGAATTATGGCCCTGGATGTTCAGGAGGTTTTTACCGGGAGCTGAATTATCCAGAGCTCTCTTTCTCTCCAAAACAAATGGACAGGGGTCTGAAGCTGCTTTATTCAGTGTTTTTATGGTTTAAATCACCTGGTCCGTTTGTTCTGGAGAGGATGAGACCTCTGTGAATAATCCAGCTCCTGGTAAAAACCTCCTGAACAAGAAACACTGAAGGAATTCTAACCAGGAGAAGTCTCAGCTGGTTGCAATCCTCACCACTAGACAGCACTAAATATTCCTAAATTGTTTGTCCCGTAGAAAAACACACTTTTTATGATCTCACATAAGCAGTTTGGGTATTGTTCTTTGGAGGACATTCTCTTATTGTTTATTTATTTACACATTTTCTCAAAGTTCAGTCTACGTGTTGACCAGAATTAAAAACAAAGTTCTGTGTATTTCAACATTTCTTTTAAATCTTATGACCCATATTTGTGGAGTTGAATACGACCCTGTGTGGTGCTACATGATGTTAAAGTGTTTTTATTGTCAACTTGTGTTTATAATATAAATAATAATATAATATTTTATTAGGATAAATATTTTCGTAATAGATTTATGTCTTGTTAGATATATAACTAAGGTAACTGAAAAATGACAAATAGAATTTATTATTATTGCTGTTATTGTACGGAATATATTATTATAAATATTTAAGTGTTAATTTATTAAAAAGGGGTGGGATAAAATAAGTTTATACTTCCTCCCACTCCTTTTCAGATATGTAAACACGATCTATAGTTTTCAGTTTGTTTACCTTGTTATTTTTTAATTTTTATTATTTTTCTTTGTCCATTAGTGTATGATAATTTTGTTTTTTACATGTTCGAAATAAACTATCCTGCTCAGATATGACAGAATTGTGTTTTTCCAACTATTAAAAGTTTATCCCTCCTGTTAAAAGCAGAGCAGTGATGTGGAGCTGAAGTCCCTAATCTAACCTACTTTAACTATTTTTAGGCGAGCTGGACCCTGAGAGCCATCTGCAGCCGCTGTAGCTGTGAAAGTAGATCATCACGGAGGATCCCCGTCAGGGTGGCAGTCAGCCAGCCGTGGAATCTATTTATAACCAACATCTGCCCCTCGTCACCAAACAGGAGGAAGTCCTGACTGCTGCCGGATCAAGTTTCTGTCACTTTTGAGGTCTGACGACTCTGATATCAGATGGTAAGATGCCAGAGAGTGGAGAGTAAACAGAATTTAAACCAGCTTCCTGCAGGGAGATTTTGTGTTTTATAATCTGAATCTGCAAAGTAGCTTTAGTGCATAACTGTAATGGAGTAAAACATATTTTCCTCTGAGATGTAGTGGAGCAGAAGTGTACAGTAGCAGAAAATGGAAATGCTCAAGTACCTCAAAACTCAAGTGCAACTTTTGGCTGAGACAAAAGTTGATGTGAGGTGACGCAACAGCCGGCCTAGTTCTGTGATGTAAGTTTGGTGTGTCTGAGCCTTCAGAGGAAAAGTGTGTATTTTTGATTTTGGGGTGAACTGTCCCTTTAAATTGTTGAATGTTGAACCCAAATGGTCTTAATCAGGGATTATAGCCTTTCCTGGGCATGCACACTGTGTTTCCCACAGCTTTCTCAGCTTAATTAAACCCAAATTTACTCTGACGACATGCTGGATGCAGGACTTGATTTGCCAGTAATATCATCTTATTAATTCTCACAACCATTTTTAACATAACAATCCTTCATCACCTGGTGTCAGTAAATGATAACAGAACTGAGGACTTCAAATCCAGATTTTTTTCCTGAGGAAATCTTTGTGCGGCTCTGAGGAGTAACTTTCCTATGAGCACTCTACTCAGTAAAACCATACTGTGCTATGTTTTTGTTAAAAAATATACTGGAGTATAAGTACAGAAATAACAGCACATTTATTAAGAAAAAAAAAACAGAATTCAAACAAATCTTGAAAATGATCAGAATGTAAAAGAAAGCTGAAGTGCAGTTGGAGTTACAGGGAGGTGATCAGTCGTCACATCTGTGATTCAAGGTAATGCTCATAATTAGCTCGAAGGACAAATTCAAAATAAGGTTTTGATTTCAAACTGCTCAGATCGTCCAGCTCCAGCAGGTCTTTAACCTCAGGCAGGTACGTCTGCAGAGGAACTCCTGGAAAACAAAGATTCATATGAGGGAGACATTAAATGATTATTTGTAAGAATACCATTTAATACAGTGGTTCCCAAGTGATGGGACGCGGTCCTAAAGTGGGTCACAGGTCCATTCTGAATGGACTGCAAGTGACCTGCAAACTTGTCAAGTTTCTAAATAACACACTTTATTTGTAAATACAGTGAATTCCTGGCACAGAGCTTTTATTTTGAAGACTGTTTCCTGCTGTAAATTGAGTGACTAACAGACAGCTATTTGACAGAGACACCAAACTAGGTTGACAACATGGCCAAACAAAAGTATGACACTGAACTAATGACTAAGAACAAATCTGGAAGCCGTGGCTGGACCAGCTGGGAACCACTGCTTTAATACAGGGACACATTTGGATTAGATGACAATTAAGTTAACAAATTGAGGAAACTGATGCACTTAACAACAAGCATCTTTTCTGATACCTGTGCTTGTTGCTTGTGTATGATGTAGTTTTTTTAACTGCATGCTTTGCATCTTAAAGCTACAGTTGATAACTTTTACAGAAAATTAACTTTATATCCCTTTATCCACACAGCACTAGATCGGACAGATTTCACTCCAATGCCTTGTAGCTTTCCTAATGGCCTTATTGCATGTGAAGGAAAACAACCAATCAGAGCCGAGGAGTCTCTAAGGCAGCTGTCAATCACTCCTTGTGAACTGGTCAAACTAGGCATCGCTGATCAAATATGAATCAAGATTCTGTTACTGCATTCCCTATTTCTCTCCTCAAATGTTTTCAGAAACATTTTAGTTTACTGTTTAACTGTGAAATGAGAAAGCTGGTCCAGCTGATGGGCGGTGCTTTGTACTTTAACTGTATCCAACATGGCAATCGGGTCTGTTTCGTTGTCTACAAATTTCAGTGAAACAGTAAACTAAAAAATGTTTCTGAAAACATGTGGCAATAGAAACCTGATTCATATTTGATCAGCACTGCCTAGTTTGACCACAGTTCAGGAACAGTGATCGACATGATTGACATCGACTCTGATTGGTTGCTGCTGCCGTGCCCAGTTGATTCGGGGGGGGATATGATTTTTTTTTCACAGGCTGTCTAATGTACTTCTCTCAGAATATAGTGACACGTTCAGCAAATATGACAGTCATTTCTATAAAAGTAACCACCTGTAGCTTTAAGTGCATGACAACTACTAATACACTGAGTAGCACTCAAAAAATGAAGTGTTAAGTAAAGAGGTCTGTGATTTGAGACACACTGATCGTTATCCTGGAAATGTCCATGCTTGGTTAAGTAGTTAGTCAGATTTGCATTTGTGCTGCAACCAGGGGAATGATAGAAACTAAAGGCATCCAGTTTTTATCTGCTACTTTTAGCTTTCTGCTAACTAGTTTCCACACACTCTAAATCACAGTACTTGGTGCACAGGCTTTACCACCATCTGTTCCATTGTTGGTACCAGTAGTAGGTTATAAGAGAGCCCCAGACCAGTTTGTAATACGAGTGTTAATATGGCAAAAGATCTGCACGCTTAACTCACAGCTCCCAGTAAGTTTAGGGATCTCTGTTAGATCAAGTGTCGCTCTTTTAAAGTCGACTTTCAATTTTTCTTTAATTGTTCATTGTTTACTAGCTTGTAATTCTCTTCTTTCCTGCCTTTACTAGCACACTGCTGCAGATCTTGGCTCATTACTGCCACCTGCTGATCAGTCAACTTTTTGGGTCCTATCAACACAGTGTGCAGATCTTTTGTTGGACTTTTAGGTTTAGTTTTTGTTTTGATCCAGCACCTGAAGAAGATTCGGACATGTAGATTTATGCATCTAATTACATTTGTGGATGAAATAAATGTTACTCTTAAATCCTCCTGGCTGTACTTTGCCTTATTTACTAAACGCAGCTTCTTGAGTGTTTCTCACCTTCCTGGATGAGTTTGAGGAGGATCTTGACGAAGATGCTGTCCTTGGCGACCTCCAGAGGGTCGTCGGCCCCGTCAGCAGAGGACCAGCTGAGAGGCACACACCATCAAATAAATCAGTATTTTCTTCGACTAATTTTTCTTATGTGAATATTTAATTTCATCTGAAAGGAGCTCTGGGGTACATTTAATGATTTCTCTCACAGAGCTTGTCAAAAATCTTCCAGCTTAATTAAATTTAATTAACTTTTCAAAAATAAAACATGACAGAAGGATCTTACTCGTCTCTCCTGAGCGCCTTGCCGAAGATCTCACACTTCAGCGAGTCGATGTCCTCGACTTCCTCCTGCGACAAAGAAAACCCACAAAAGTTTTATTTCAACTGTGTTCAAGCTGCAACTAGTCAAATCTCAACCAGATGAATAATTCAATAGGTTACCTCATCGATGTACTCCAGCAGATCCAGAGCCTTTTTGAAGTCGTACTCGTTGGCTCGCCTGTTGTCATCGCAGATGTACAACTAAGGAGAGGAGGAAACGCTGAAGTGAGCCACAACTTTAGAGTAACTGTCAGAGTGTTAAGTGAATTTATGACTGTAATCTGGTTTAAGAAATGTCAATGTAAACAGGAAATATGGTTTCCTTCTTCATGTTAAGGGATTAAAAGTAAAATAACTACAGAAATGTGGTTGTTCAGTGTTTAAAACTTAAACTTTCTTAAAAATGTTCACAATTGAAATTAACATTTTTGGAGAAAAACACAATGCTGTCATTTATAGACAAAGACAAGACAGTCGAGTCTTCAGCATGTTGGTTGCCAAGGTTGTGACTCATGTCGAAAAATAGGGTGAATCAAACTTCAACCGTGGACATCACATCCTGTTTAGGTCGGAATCTGACCAAGTTGCAAGTAAAATAGGTTTCAGAGTTAAGGCCTTTGCACACTGAGTCCATTTTTTAAAATATCATTACGCACAGAAACCTTGCACACTGATTCCAATGCGTTTTATTATTCTGTTCGTTGTGAAAATTAGCAATACCTGACAAAATGAAATGACACATTTCCTCCGTTGCCTCATTGCACTGGAGTTACCTGGCTGTCATCACTCCCTCCCTGTCCTTCATTTGGTACTGCAGCAGCATGAAGGGGCAGAACTGTCCTCCACTTTCTGTGTGTGGTTCTCATCCTCCTCTTCATCATCATCACCCACCTTACTATTACTATCTGACCTGTTGAATGTTAGCTATCTGAGAAATGATTCTGTGTGCCCCGTTTCTTTGTCTTGTCTTGTCTCAGTCCCATCGCCACATTTTCTTCACTGATTCTTGGTCAAACGTCTCTAAAGGCTCTGACGGAGGCCGAAAACGCAGAAAATCGAACCTGTTCCAAAAATTTTAATGACGGTCTCAGTGTGTGAACATGACTGATACAACGTGAGGTCGTATTCATTTTTTATTTTATGTGCAACAACTTTGAACGAAAAACCTGACTCAGCGTGCAAAGGCCTTAACACAACACTTGCTTTATCTGTTTTTCTCTGTGCATGTTAACTTAGTCAAGTGAAGATCTAGTTTGAAGTTTAGTTCACCCAAATCAAACATTTTCTCCCTCTTTAAAATGCCCTGTTGAGTTTTTGTGCACAAAGTTTCTGTTTGTATTCAGTGTTTCTTACCCAAGCTCCCTGTGTGTATCACTGAGCTCTAAGAAACGTCTGCAAAACTTTTTAAATTGTTCATCATTTACTTGCTTGTAATCCTATTCTTCTCTGCCTTTGCTGGCACGCTGCTGCAGAACCTGGCTCATTACTGCCACCTGCTGATCACAGGAATACTGTGACACCATTGTAAGGATTGTGTATAGTGTCACACACGTGGCCAAGAGAACACACATGCACAAGACACAAGATGAACAAAACAAAGTCTAGAGGTCCAAATCTCTACAGGGAACTCAAAGTGCATTACGTAAATGTGGATTTGCATATAAAAACAGCGAGTCGGGGTGTTGTGACGTGTCATACGCTGCAAATCTGTGTTGCCATTCTATATCTATAGATATGCATACAGATAAATCTCTAGATATAGTAAGTGAGTATAGATCCCAACATACAGAAACTCACCAACAGACTAAATGAATGTCGTCTCTAGACCACCACCCACTGATCATAGCAAAAGCCATAAATCTTTAAATCCTAAAAAGGTTCCATTTTTAAAGTTGTTTTTTCTCTTGAGACCTCTGCCGCCACTCAAACTACAAAGATGTTACATGTGAAATACTCAACAGCAAGGTCTCTTTCCAGAAACACAGTCCAAAGACCTCTTTGTGAGCAGTGTGTGTGTGTGTTTTCACCTGTATGAGGTTGTGGGCACTGAGCAGAGGCATGGTTTCAGGGTTCTGCTGTTTCTCCTCCAGCAGCTGTCGGGGCAGAGTCTCCTGATGCAGCAGGAAGCGCTCCTGCTCCACGATGTCTGATTGGACAGATAAATGACAGCATTGTTAGGTCTCGTTACAGGATGTGTTCAACACTGCAAAGTTCTGCCACTTCACTTGCGTGTCTATTATGTGGTACTCTGCTGCTTTTTCATGCGTTGAAAAGTTGCTAAAAGTCACAGTTTTTGTCTGGTTTCCATCTGGATCACGCAGGTGTTACAGTAAAATGTCAGATCCTATTTCTGCAGCAGTAAGCAATCAAATAAAAGATGACACAATGAATTGGTGGGGGAAAACAACCTGGAAAGCATTTTGAAAATTAACAAAGTGTCACCACATGGACTGATGAATGGATGAATGTGAAGGCTGGAGCAAAATGCTCAATAAATAAGTCGTCAGCACCAGCACTGACTGTAGAAGGGGCTGAGGTGTTTCTTCATTTGAAAACAACACATCCCACCTCAAACAGTGGCTCACATTTGTCTCTTGATTGAGGACTAGGTGGATTTTTTTTACCGTCGACTTGTTTGTTGAGTTCGTCCTCCGGCAGGTCGGACGCGAGCACCGTCAGCTTACTGAGAGCCAGCAGCGTCTTCTTCTTCACAAAGTAACGCGTCTCCATGTTGGCCTGGCTGTAGAGCGTCCTGTTGGCCTGCAGACACACGAGTCAACACGTCAGTCGCAGCATCACTGTGAGAGCTACCTGAAACAACTGCACAGTCTGTGGATGCTGTTTTTATTTTAGGGTTCCAGCAGGAATATTGATGAATGTGACCCACAACTACTGGTTATCTTTATTTGCTTTTTTGATTTTTAATACATAGATCTGTCAGGCATACAAATGGAATAATGACTAATGCTCATTACACTTTATATATCTACCTTATTCCAGAGGGCACAACTTCCTGTGAGATAGAGGAAGTAGCAGTAAGCTAGTTAGTCCCATAGACTGTCTGTGGTTAGTCCCAGTGGCTACTCTTGGTGGCTAACTGCCAACGCTGGTTCTTTTCCAAAGTTATATGCCTTCAGTTTAGCAAATACTGATTTATTTTTTAACAAATATTTAATGTTAACTTAGCATTTTCTAAAATGTCTTTGCGGAGGGGCGTTGGTGGCTTAGTGGTAGAGCAGGCGCCCCATGCACAAGGCTGTTGCCGCAGGGGCCCGGGTTTAACTCCAGCCTGACTCCAGCCAAAAAAGGGATTGTTCCTGTTGCCATGGTTACCATTGACATGAGAAATAAAACCACACCAGACATAGCGAAAAAGTATTAAATTAGAATTATCAGAAGAGAATGACACGTAGACTGACAGGTCCGTCACTCAGCGTCAGTACATGATATCCCTGTCTGACTTCATTTTCAGAATAAATTGAAACATGTATTTAGTCATTAGGACTGAGAATGTGTCACTGACTTACTGTGCTTCATTTATATCATAAAAACATGAATCTTTTACTCCTACTTTATATCACTACTACTGAAGTCTGCTGCTAAATTCAGCTTCATGTTTCGCTCAGAACAGTTTTAATAAATCAGAAGTTATAAAAACGTGTAAATGGCGTGGTTAACGCAGACGAGCGGAGGATTCGCTGGGAAACATCACATTTATTCACTGTACATGGAGCTACAGTTAATACTGAATTATGTGTTAGTATCTCTTAATAGGGTTGCTTTGAGATGGCTGTCAGAGATGGCAGAGGTATGATCACATGATCCTGTCTGAGCTATAACAGGTGGTGTGTTCCATGTTTTATTAAGTAGAATAGAGTACTGTAAACAAACTGTTACCATTGGAAATCGCCGGTTTTGGTTCAATGCCTGGAGTTGCACCTATATTTCACGCAAGGTATCATGGGGGCTAGAGATAAGGTGGATTATCTTTTACCTGAGTTAGACATAACAGGCAAAGAAAAGCAGAATATTCCATTTTATAAAGCAATATCCAACAAATGTTTGCTGGTCACAAAATGATTTAAATGATCAACTACTGGGTAAAATTGTCAAAAAATGTATTTAGTTCCACCATGATTGAGGTCTCTACAAAGCCAAATATGTTACAATAACTCTACCATTCTACCTTAAATTAATCTTGTGTTTATTATAGCTGCTATAGTGGAAATTCAAACAAGTAAAAGCCGATAAAAACACAACAAAGAGTCAAAGTGAACAAATTTAGCATCTAAAGCAGACCTTTTCTTTAAGATGTTACAAAGAACGAGATGATTAAACACCTTTGAAGGGTAAATTAAAATATATCAGCTTATTAATTTTCTTTCTTCTGCCATTTGTTAAACAATAGATTTGAAAATTTGCACTTAAACACGTTTTTTAAAGTATGTTCTTGTTGTTTTATCAGAAGTTGTCTGTTTTATTTTAGATGTTTGATGTAGAGCTGTGTCTTCTTATTACGTATAGTGCAGAGGTATGAATGAGACAATTGTTTTGCACGACACAAAAATAAAAA